CCCCCCCCCCCCTCCCATCCACCCCAGCCTCTCCAGAGTTAAGAAGTGGTGCAAAAAAGACTTATTCTGTCTTTTTAGTGTTACACTATTTGCCCTGGCTGGCATGGCTCAGTGGTTGAGCGTTGACCTATGAACCTGGAGGTCAGGGTTTGATTCTGATCAGGGCGCGTGCCCGGGTTACTGGGCGTGCAGGGGGCAGCCAATCAATGATTCCCTCTCATCACTGATGTTTCTCTCTGTCTCCCTCCCTTTCTGAAATCAATAAAAAAAATATATATATATATTTTAAATATTACGCTGTTTGATATCTGTCAAGGAGAATGGGACAATAGGAAAAGGCCAAATATAGAGAAAGCACAGGCCCCGCCTTCCTGGTGCCATCTAGCTCCTCCCCTTATTGTAGCATCCTCTCAGGACAACTTCCCTTTCCTCAGCACCCTCCCACCTTCTCTGATTCCTTAGCCCCTTCTCAGGGTCCTTTCCCTTCTCTCCAACTCGCCTCACTTCAGGTGCACCCCCCCTCTCATACTCTTGCTCCCCTCCCTCCTCTCAGAGTCCTCCTGCATCAGAGGCCCTAACCCCACCCCACTCTCATTCCCAGGCCTTGCAGCCAGAGCGGGTGCAGGACCCTGAGCAGAATGGAGAAACCGCGCACCCTGTCATCGGCAGGTCCTTAATGGGGTCTGAGGTGGTGTCTGGGACTTGTCCTCATTCGCGGCCCATGGGCTAGGCAGGGGGAGACAGATTCAGAGCTGGGATCTGGTTAAACTGACAGATTAGACATGGAGCATCCTAATCTCACTGACCTTTAGGAGTGAACCAGGCCCTGCCCTCCCCAGTGGAAACCCAGGCTGTGCCAGCCACGACCCCACTTTCTCTCCTTCCAAGCAGAACCCTGTCCCTGTCCCTTCACCTCACACTTAGCATTCTCCTCCACCCCTATTTCTATGGTCCCGAGGCCCTATCCCAGACTCCCTGAGCTGGGGGGGCGAGGGGGGAAGCCAGCTAATTAATCCCATCCGGTTATTACGTGGGGATTCTGAAGGATCAAGGGAGGCGGGGAAGCCAGAAGGGAGGACCTGGGTTGGTGCAGCACCTGGGCAGGCTGAGGGGCAATGACAGTGCCCGCCCTCAGTCCTGGGACACAGGAGTGGGGACGTATCCTCACAGGCATTGGTTCCTTTAGCAGCTGGCTCTCTGCCTGCAGGGCACTTAGGTAGATAGAAGCATGGGCAGAGGCCAGGCCCCAGAAGCACAGTCACAGGCACACCACCAGGCGCCCAATGGTTTAATCTGGGGGACAAGTCTCCCCCTAACCACCTACTTGCCCCTGGTATCCAGAGCTGCCTCCTGTCCGTCAAGCTGGACGAGGGAGGCGTTGATTCTGGCCCTTAGCCACAGCCCACACTGCACCCCATGACAGTGCCCGCCCTCAGTCCTGGGACACAGGGGTGGGGACGTCACAGGCATTGGTACCTTTAGCAGCTGGCTCTCTGCCTGCAGGGCACTTAGGTAGATAGAAGCATGGGCAGAGGCCAGGCCCCAGAAGCACACTCACAGGCGCCCAATGGTTTAATCTGGGGGACAAGTCTCCCCCTAACCACCTACTTGCCCCTGGTATCCAGAGCTGCCTCCTGTCCGTCAAGCTGGACGAGGGAGGCGTTGATTCTGGCCCTTAGCCACAGCCCACACTGCACCCCGCTGCCCTGTCCTTCAGATGTCCAAACTCAGAGCTGGCCTCCAAGAGCGTCTCCCACCCCTGGGAGTCCGTGCGTCCCAGCACCAGGGAGAGCTGGGAAGTCTCTAGGACCCTCCCCTCACTTCCCCCTCCCTGAAGTGAGGAACCATTCCTGTGGAAAGGCTCTTGGAGAAGTTCAAGTTCCAGTGCCCCGTTGTTACAGATGAGGAAACCGAGGCGAGGAAAGAGGAGGGGTGTGCCCAGTCACACAGTCCTTAAGCAGAGCTAGGATGTAGAGCAAAGCTTCCTGGATCCTTATGAAAGATCCCCTTCCAATGAGCTCAAACTCCATTTCCAACCCTTCTGTAAGAACCATGGGGTGGGGGTGGGGGAATATATATATATCTGTATTTATATTATATACTAGAGGCCCGGTGCACAGACTTGTGCACTGGTTGGGGGCGTGGCCTGCGTACTAGAGGCCCGGTGCACAGATTCGTGCACTGTGGGGGGGGCGTGGCCTGTGGGGATTGACCCGCTGTGGGAGCACACTGACCACCAGGGGGCAGCTCCTGCGTTGAGCGTCTGGCCCCCAACCCCCGGGTGGTCAGTGCGCATCATAGCGCAAGGTTGACCGGCCGTTCTGGTCGTTCTGCTGTTCAGTCATTGGGCTTTTATATATATAGATCATATACACATATATAACATCTTTAAGAAATAGAAACACATCACTAGGTGTAGGGTTCCAGAGCATTGTAGACTCACCAGCCCTGGCCCCCTCCCTTCCCGTGCCCGTTCACCAGCCCTGTTACCCACAGGGTCTTGTCTGGGCCCTCACCTCCAGGTCAGCCCAGAAATGCCGTCTCTCAAGTCCCGAGTCCAATGGTTACAGGAGCCGCTTAGAACTTCCGGGTTTCGATCATGGACAACTCTGGCTCCCTGAAGCCTTGGTTCCTTTTGGCATCACAGAACCACAAAGAAGTCGTCTAGGATCGCCACTCCTTCCCTGACTCTGTGGTCGATCCAGAGCCACGGAATCTTGGTTCCTTTGGACATTCTAGAATGGCACTTTGAAAACACACACCTGTGGGTCATTTAGAAGCATCGATTCTCCCCTTGCTTTGACGTTCTGGAGCCACTGGTCTGGGGTTATCTAATATCAAGAACTCCCCATCGGTCACTGCAGTCCGAGACCAGCAGACTCTCCGTTGTTTTGTGCATTCTAGAAACACAACTCTTTAGTTCCTGGAGTACTTCTACTATCTAAGGCCAGTCTAGATGAACAATCTCAAAACATGGGCTTTCTGGAATCACAGGTCTTTTCTTGACTGGCAGTCAACATTCCAGGTCAATCACGTTAGTCCTGACTTCTTGGAGCGTCCCATACTTTTCCCCCCTGAGGTGGTCTAGAACAAGACGACTTACTTCTTGGTTGGCTCAGCCAAGACGCAATAGTCCCTTGACTATTAAACCAATCCAGGCCTATAAACTCTCGCTCTCACTCGCTGCTGAGAACTGCTGACTGCCTCCCCCAGAGGCACCCTATGTCTCTGATTCCGAACCCTGCTCAACGACCCACGCCAGCCATATAGAAGAATCTAGAACCACCAGTCCTTGCCTCTTGGGTGGTCCAGAATCCTGGATCCCTTAGCTCTGGTCAGACTCAGGAATCAGGCCGATACAGGGGTCTCAGCGGGGAGCACACAACGCAGAGGATTTAAGATCCAGTGTGTCCATGGTGGGTCCACTAGGCGGGCAGACCTTCACCAGCTAATAATTTACCCAGCAGGCCTGTCGGTCCCGGGAGAGGGCCCGGGCTCTCCATTTCACTACCTCTGGGAAGGGGATACAAATGGGGGGACACCAGCTGGCATCATGGGGGCAGGGGCAGAGACAGGGTGGGCGTGAGTACTCGGGGGCTGGCAGCCCCCTCTCCGGCCTCCGACTCATCTCCCTCCTCGGCTTCCTCGTCCTCCCGGCAGCAACTCAGAGCAAGTTCATTCTCATAACAAAATGCAGTCAGCGAGTCAGGGAAGCTAGACTTGGGGCTGCGGGAGTCCCGCTCTGCCCGCTCATCC